CCATTGCTCAATCCCACAGCTGCCTCTCCAGCAGGAATTGGTGGCTCCCAGTCCAGGCTGGTTACTCCGGTCAGATTTGTGGCCAGCACACGTGCAGGCAACGAGGTGTCAGCGAAGGCAGGGCTAATTGGAGTCTTCCTTCCACTTAGGAGCTGAATAAATGAGGCTGCCGTGTGCTTGCTGGCTTGGTGTGGTTTGTTTTCAGTCAGGAAGCTTTTCCTGGGCCTCAATTACAGTGGCAGCACCCGTGTTCCGGTGTTCCGCCTGCTCCCGTAATCGGAGCTGACCTGCTCGGGCCCTTGGAGCCTTCTCCCTTGGCCTGGGTCACTGTGTGACAGCCACCTCCTGCCTCTCAGCTCTGGGGACACGAGGGAAGCTGGTGGCACACACAGATGCTCAGGTTAGGCTGTGTGGGGAAGTGGTCCCAGGGTCCCTAATTTGGGAATACGTGTGGATTCAGGTGAAAGCTGAGGGTGTGGTATAAACTGACAGGGAGTAGGTTTAGATTGGATCTTAGGAGGAAATTCTTCCCTGAGAGGGTGGAGACACAGGGTGCCCAGAGAAGCTGAGGCTGCCCCTGGATCTCTGGAAGTGTCCCAGGCCAGGCTGGGTGGACCTTGGAGCCACCTGGGATAGTGGAAGGTGTCCCTGGATTCCTGGAAATGTCCCAGGCCAGGCTGGGTGGACCTTGGAGCCACCTGGGATAGTGGAAGGTGTTCCTGGATCTCTGGAAATGTCCCAGGCCAGTTTGGGTGAGGCTTGGAGCCACCTGGGATGATGGAAGGTGTCCCTGCTCATGGCAGGGGTTTGGAACAAGATGAGCTTTAAGGTTTTTTTCTGGCCCAGTCCTTTCTGTGATTCTTTGATCTTAGCACTTCCTCCCTGGACAGTCGGCCTCATGGTATTGCATAACGTAAGCTTGCCTTTAAAAGCTGCTTTTATTCTGTGGCCCCATTTTAAACCCACTTTAAAGGTTCTTTTGGAGGGAGGAAGGTTCAGCTGGTAAAAATCTTTCTTCCTGTTTTTCCCACAGGTAAGCTCAGACAGTGTTTCAATTTCCACAGAAGGCCCTTGTAATGAAAGGCTGAGGTTCTCCAGTTTATTGCCGTTCTGTTTCTCGTTTTTGTTTTGTTTTCTTTTAAGCTTTTTTTGTGTCCTACAACTCGCAGCTGAGGAAATGCTGTTCTGGCAGAAATGCAGAATGTGCTCTCATTAGCTCTGGCATTCCTCCCCCCTCCCTTTTCCATCATCTGGGACAGAAGAGCATTACTGCAGTTAATTTGTGCTCTTTTGTAGTGGCATAAGTGCTGTCCCTGGAACCAGCTCAGCTAGCTAATGACTTTTAGAAATAAAGTACTAAGGATGTATTCCTAATCTGTGCAGCTAAAAA